CAAACTGCCCACCTGCTGGAGACCTATTGAGCAACCTCGAGGTTTTATGCCGATGGGTCCCCCCCCCCCCTGGACACAGCCACTGGGATCACAGAAGCCTTGATTTCTACACCTCACTTTTCCAACATTATTATATCTATCTGAGGGCATACTGCTATTTCGGCCAGACATGAAGGGCATACTGCTATTTCGGCCAAACTTAAAGGCATACTGCTATTTCGGCCAGACTTGGATGCGTCTGACTATAGTCAGGTCTCGTGTCCAATAAAAAGAGCCCTGTGGTAGTGGCAGTACGCCCCATGGCAGGGTTTGAGCTCATGTTGTGTTTAACATTTAGTTGCATACGTTATCATCGTTATATGCATTAATACACCGTATTGAAGTAACCATAACCATCTATGAACTGCCATTAATATTTTTGTGTATGATATTCGCATTGCAATACAATGTATACAATATATAGGTATTTGTTTTTTGTTTTTTTTTATACACTATATAGGTATTTGTAATATAAGCCCCACCGCAATGAAGTAGCCTCTATGTCGTGCCGTCATGGTAAGTCGTTGCTATTCCATGAAGCATTTATGACTCGCGCGAGAAAAAGGAACCGGGCCACCGGCTGCTGTCAGTCAAAACAAATGCATAGAGGCCCACAGGGCAAGAGCTTCCGCACGGTACGGCCACCTGCTGCATAATTCTACTATCAGGGATATCCTGACACCGACCACAGGGGGTCATAAAAGCTGCAGCACACCTGTGGCACACCGAAGGGCAGGAGGTGTAAACCACCAGTACTTCCCAAGGTCGTGCCCGTTAAACCACCAGTACTTCCTTAGGGCGTGCCCGTTAAACCACCAGTACTTGGACCAGCTATCGGGAAAAAGACAAAAAAAAAGTAGAAACATTTCTAGTCGGATGAATTTGGGCGCTCCTGTAGTAGCCCGTACGTTTCCTAAAATTGTGTGTGGCGCATTAACGGGCACAACTACTGATGGAAACGTGCAGGCCAGTACAGGAGCACCCAATTTCTACTCTATCTTTTTTTCCACGGTCGATAGCTCGGCCAAGTACTGGTGGTTTAAGCCATCAAACATTGAATAGAAACGCTTATAATCGGATGAGTTTACGGATACGGACCTGTAGCGGCCGGCACGTTTCCTAAAATTAAGTTGTGGCTTGTTAACAGGCACAGCTTTAGCAAGTACTGGTGTTTTAGGGGCTCATGCCACCCTACTCACGGTCAGTTAAAAAGTCTAAAAGAAACGAAAAAGAAGGGGCCGCAGCCTTCGAAGTCGGTGAGGAAATTCGTACGCCACCGTCCCGTCATTGCAGGATATCTTGCGTGAGTGGCGGCGGCCTTTGTTGGGCGGTCTGCGAAATTGGACTGCTTTTCCAATTTCCCACGGACATGTCTGGGCCCGAACCCTGTGCCACCCGCATGCCCCACAAAGAAGTGAGCGAAATATGATAACCACAGACGAACCAGGCCCAGCAACGGACAAGAAATATTAAAATTAAAAATTAAAACACGCGATCTTTTCCGGAACAGGGTACAGGCCCGTTCCTTTTCCGGAAACAGCAAAACGGACCTCCTGACGTTCACTTCATGAATGCCACGTCCTAAACCGTTTTCACAGCCCTCCGTTCACATCGGAGCCCCCGGGGTTCAAGGAACACGGTGGGATATGCCAAAAATGGGTATTTTACTTACTGTAAGTAGGGTGGGATGAGGCCCTTGATAGCTCCATTATCGTTCAGCCATCCTGGTGGAATTCCTCTTTTGGCGGGTCGAGTTTTAGGATGTCGATGGCTCTCCATGCCTTGCTGATTCACCATCCATGGCAATGTCGACGACGTGGAAGCTCCTCCCAAACAAAGTTCCATGGGATGGATGAAGGGTGAATTAAATTAAGAGACTGCCAAACTCATTCAATCTGAAGGCCCTGGCAAAAGGCATGCAAGTGGGGCATTCAGGAGGTCGTGGGTTCAATCCCCATTGACCGTCTGGGGCACATTTGCTGCCAACCAACTGAGATAGTTGGCTTGCTCCCCCTTGTCGGCAGTCGTAGGGTCTTGGGCCGTCACAGACAACATATGTGTGGTCAGTGTGGAAGTGTTGGCCTTAGACACTGCTGTTAGTCTACAGGAGCCGGAAGTTGGGGAAGTCGATGGGAGGTGCAGCTACTGGTTTGCATTAGCCAGAACGCCCACCACCCACGGCCCCGCCCTACCCCCTGACCACCACCCACAGCCCCACCCTACGCCCTGACCACTGCCATCCCTTTACATTGTGAGAGGTAGATATGCTTGCAGGGATCCTCTGTACAAGTTTAGAGTACCGCTAGGTAGGTAGTGAAAGAATCTGAGAGAAGAATACAGCTTAGGCTCATACTCCACACCCCTAGTCTGCCAGTTTCCCCATTCGGCATTAGCATACAAGATAAGAATCAGAGACTAAGGGCCAGATCCCACTAGCCCCTATTGTTCATTTCTGACCATTGATCTTCGTAATCGAGGGTGAAAAATGAATAATCCAGAGTAGTGGGATCTGACCCTTAGAATATCTATCGCTTAGGTTCGTACTCCACACTCCTAGTCTGCCTGTTTCACCATTGGGCATTGGCGTAAAACATATTCAGACTCCATTCGAAAAACTCAACACTCCACCTACCGCTCTTTACTATGACATTCCCACTGACTCGCCAGACATGGGGAACAAAGTGCAAGTGACAGGGCCCACGTTTAACGGAATTCCTTGGCGACAGAGTAACGGCTCTTGTGCTTCTAAATTGAAGAACTACTTTCCAGGAGGACCCGGATCTTCGATCATACATTTCAAGAACACGATGTACATTTGATGGCTGCTACGATGTCAGTCTTTCGAAACTGACATAACACAAGCCATCGCAGGACTGCATGTTCTTTTCCAGGTACGCGTACCAACAGAGACAGACGACCACAATTAAGCTACCCCCTTCCGATGTCTGCGCCTCGTGTCCTGGTGCCTATCACTGCTGTTCGGTCCAAGTTGTCTGCCCTTTGGTAGGGTAATGGTCCTGAGTGCTGGTCACAGGTAGGATAGTGGGATAGGGGGTGCGCTAGGAGTATTGACGTGAGGATGGGATGGATGTGGTCTCATATTCCAGGACACCCATGGCCCACAGCTCCAGGTGCTCACTGTGCACTCAGTGACTGGCCTCTACAACTTCCGAGAAAAAAGGGGAAGGGGGGGGGGAAGGGGGCAGGAAGACTGTGGTGGGAAACACTACCATGCGACCAGCAGGCGAAGCTCAGTCCACCCCTGGCACTGTTAAACCACCAGCACCCAAGGGGTTCTTAGGCCCCCTCTGGGGAGGCTCTGACGCAACATGGACCCGTGCGGCACACCGATTCAGCCACCGCGTTAACAGCCTAAAAACATGGACGTACTGGCTACAGACCCAAGTTCAAATCCACATGCAACCACATAAAGAGAATACATCGGGCGGGTCTGTCTGTTCCAATGAGATACCTCAAAGATATCTCAAAAAAGACAATCTCCTTTTCTATTGCAGAAAAGGAGAGAACACAAACCATACCACTGTCCTTTATGGACATCCGTTACAGCTGGGGGACTCTGCAGAAGATGAGCAAGTAGCATAGCATATTAAGCCTGCGCAAGAGAGACAAAACACAGTATACAACAAAAACAAGAGAGACAACATCGATAAACCAGCGGTGAAACCCCAGTGTAAGACGGCAGCAGCAGACAGCATATATTCCCCTACGTGAGCCGCCAATTGATTGTCAGCCGTCCAGATGTGTCGATCCGGATCTGAACGACTGACAACCAAACAATTAGCTCCAAACTGGGCGTAACCAGCTGGTACCCTCCCACCGCCTTCACCCGGGGCTAGGTCCCACTTAATCGAATTAAGCAATATTGACCGTAGATAACAAAGATCAGCGGCCAAAATCTCTTAATCCGTGCAAGTGGGACCTTGCCCCCGAAGAGACGCGCTCGGTCATTATTCCTATATTTAGGCCTTTCGCTCTAGATGCAGCGATAACGAGCGGACGTTCTATTCGGGCGAAGACACCAGTACGACCCTCTGCACCACCAGAGATTCCCTCCAACAGTATCTTGCCACGTGGATCCTCCCCGCAGCAGACACAACCAGAGATAGCTCACCATTGGCCAGTCTCGGGCGGAGAAAGACATGCGAGAACAATCCATAGAGACGGCACAGGCGAGGAAGGGGTCCCTCACAAGGATCAAACACGTACATATCGAGAGACCGGACAGAAACACAACACAGACGCAAGGATCCATTCCCACGCAAAACCAGGACAGAAACACAACACAAACGCAAGGATCCATTCCCACGCAAAACCACCCAAAACCGAATCGCTTACCAAAGAGAAACCCAAAAGGAGCTGAGAGTGATTCCACTAACTGAAATCAAAAGGGTGACTACCTGCCAGCCATTTTCACGCACCAACAGTCAAAATCCCTGTGCGGACACAATCACAAGGGTGACTACCTGCCAGCCATTTTCACGCACCAACAGTCAAAATCCCTGTGCGGACACAATCACCACAGCCCACATGAAAGACGGCCACCCACTTAAAAAGAGCATTCAGACGATCACATCAATCACTCACACACAAGTTCGCGGGCACGTAAGACGCCATTTCCCCCCCCCACCCTCCCCTCGCACAATCCACCCCCCCATGCCTCCCCTCGCACAATCCAAACCGCATTCAGACGATCACATCAATCACTCACACACAAGTTCGCGGACACGTAAGACGCCATTTCCCTGCGAATTCTCGATACATACAAAGGCCCACCATCCCCTCGGACTATCCACCCCCCCTGCCTCCGGTAGCACAATCCACCCCCCCCCTCCTCTGCCTCCCCTCGCACAATCCAAACCGCAGTACATTTTGCTCAACATTGCGAAGAAGAACATATTCCCAAAACAGAAAAAAAGAGGATTCCCGGAGACGGTACGAGTCGACTGAAGGCAAGGGATACTTTTCCCGCCAAAATTTTCCGTATACTCGAAACATGACGCAAGCGCGGTAAAAAACGAAAATGCAAGAGTCCACGGCCCAAAACAAATTGTAAAAAGGCCCACGGGGCAAAAGAGCCTCAGAAAGAACGCAAATTCAGAGACCTGTCTCACGGGTACACACTACTTTACAACCAGAACCTTTCTGGTAGGGAGCAGCGGCAGCCGGAGCGAGCATGACAAACTCCTCCGTCAACGGAAAAAGAGGAGGCAAAACCATTCATCCCAAGTTTACACGCTCCGCTGATCCGCATCCACAGCGCATCAATCCCACATATCCACTCCATCCACACCTAAGCACTATCCCTGCCCAATCAATCCATGGCGCACCGATCAACACCCTTACTTGCCCTCCCGTCCTCAGCCATTTGTCGTTGCTACCCTCCCTTTCTTGCACTCCTGTCCTCAGCCATTTGTCTTTGGTAGCCTTCCTCGCACCCCTCTACAGCATTTGTCTTTGCTACCCTTCCTTGCACCCCTCTACGCCATTCGTCTTTGCTACCCTTCCTTGCACCCCTCTCCTCGGCCAGTTGTCGTTGCTCGACGCTTCTCCGTTCGTCTTCCGAATGGATGCTGCCAGCCGCGACGGCACCACTTAAGACAACCATAAAAACCGAGCACGCACAGCAGACACACAACGACCTCTGTAGAGGAGAAGAAGAAAGGCTCGCCGTTAGCATACCTTATATCTGACCGGAAGAGTCGGGCGGGTTCCCTGTCAGACACGCGATCGATCGTAGCGCGCTGGAAGAACACACAATCTGTCTGCAAGGAAGGTCAGTTCGCTGTAATATACGGCGGACGTTACAGAAAGCAGCAGCGGGAAAACCCATGATCTCTACGCAAAACGTCTCGCCGTCGAATATCGACACATAACGACCTTCGCGCCTTACGCTCAGGGAAAGACTGCTAAAGAGGAAAAAAAGAGCTTCTCTTACATAGTAGTCGCTCATTCTTCTTTGTTTCTTCGTTAGCGGCTCGTTCCTCGTTTTGTGTTTCTTCCAGAAGGCTGACCCTCATTTTATCGGGAAGCATCCACAGCGAGACGTACACAACAACAATGGACAGTTAGACACGGACGGCGGAATGCAGTCGGTAAGAATAGCACGGCGGCTACTACAGAAGATGACAAAGAAGATCCTATACCCATCAGCTGCAATTTCACACTTCGTATTGGCCATGACGTGTACCCACGATCTGTTAGAATTAGAGCACGACTGCTGAGAGTCAGTCCTATAGTGGTTTTTCGCGCTCTTATTGCTGCATGCCTGACTTACTACACGAGAGATTCCATCCATCACTTGATAGTGATATCACAGACCAACGCTCGCCGCTGCAGCTTGTGGCCGCCTTTCCCCGCCAAAATTTCCATACATTCTCCACAACCAAGTCATACCACTTTCTGCCCCTGCTAAAAGTACAACACCACCACCCTTGCACATAAGCATTTCATTCGCCAACGAACGTCCCGTTCCCGGCCCCTTCCCCCCCCCTCCCCCCCCCCTCCTTTCGTTCACCCTGCTAACTACCAGTAGGATTGGGGGCAAGTGGAAAAAAAGGAGACCAAACACAGGATACGGATGCGATGAATGGCTTCTACTTAAGTCAGGAGCAAGATACGAACTTGCTATCGACCATACGAGTGTTTTCCCATCACTTTTTTGCCACATTTACAGAGGACACCAAGAGAAGGAGAGAAGAGGAGATGTATATAGACTACATAGACAGCGATCAGATCACTTACCACATTTACACTGTAGACCAAAAAGGAGAGAAAAAGACTACAGCTGCTGCCGCGGAGTCTGAAGCTCCCATGCATCCCCTGACCCACCATCACCACTATCGACAGCAACGGAATATGCTACAAATCCATGCACGAGAGACAGAGAGAGGTCAGCGAAAGACGAATGGGACAGACTAGCAAACACAGCCATCGCGTTGCTTCTTGACTAATTGCTTTTCCTTGTACGTGACACAGAGACAGAGGGAGAGGAAGAAATCGAGAGATTCAAGGACACCGAGAGAAAGAGAGATGTTCCCTTTCCTTCATTTATGCTTTTTTTTCCCGCGACTGTCACAGAGAAGCGGTGGAGGAGAGAAAGAGAGCGAGCCACAGAGAGAGAGAGAGAGAGAGAGAGAGAGAGAGAGAGAGAGAGAGAGAGAGCCACACAGAGAGAGAGAGAGAGGAGCCGTAGACGAATCCTCCCCCTTGTTCTTGTGCCCGTCGTTCTACTCAGGCACCGGGGCCGCGGGAGCGAACCCCACGCGAGAGTTGCCAAAGTCGTAGACGCTGTGATAGACACCCAGGAAGATATCTCCGAGGATCCAGATGGGTCCACGTGGAGGCGGGATATCAAACCCGGTAAATCCACTGACACATTGTTCCGCTGATCCCTGCTTTATCCGAAGAACATACTGCTGAGGGAGGAGCTGGAAATCTTTACCGGAGATCCTGAATGTGACAGGTGGCAGACTGTCGATCTGTTTACAATCGATCACCGATTCCCCATGCGGACTGGGCAGGTGCGCGCACAACTTGTCGAGAGCTTGGAGAATCTGTGCCTTGGAATTGTTCTGCTTCACTTGCGTCTCTATCCAGAACACGAATATCTGACAGAACTTGCACATTCCCTCGTCATCGTCTTGAAGATCAGTCACAGACTTTCCCATCCGATCTATGACTTGCTGAATTACCATCCTGTCGTGTTCACGCGCCACCGTGCCGCCGCCGCCGCCGCCAACACCGCCGCCACGGCTCCCGCACAGCCCGAGGTTATGGCACACCTCCTTCGGATCAGCCTCCGCTTCTAACACGTCGATGATCAGGGGCGCGTACTGATGAACCAACGTCTTGCACTGCTCACTAATGACGCCCGAGGCGCCGATCGCAGCGTTGATCTCGGCAATGACCGCGGTAGGACCGGCGAGAAGAGAAGTCCCAGTGTCAGCGATCGCCGAACAGCCCCCAAGTCCACAGAAGCCCGCCAGGGCACTCCCAGCCTGCCCGGCGCCGACAAACACGTCGTCCAGCTTGAATTGCCAATACCCTTTCACGGTGACATTCGCCCACGTGTGCTCACCCGTGAAGTGCTTCTGGTCTACGCCTCCCAACACCATCTCTCCACCCACCTTCCCAGAGGTGTCCCGATTAAGCCAGAAGGAGAACACAGGTTCCGGCACAAGCCGCTGGTCCACGATGTTGTACCACAACGGGGTCACGTGGCCCGCGGCTATTTCCTGGAACCCTAGCCCCAAGATACCGTCGAATTTGGCAAGAAGAAATGTCACCCCCGGTTCCCTAGTCGCCTCCGCAAACACCTGCTTCTTTACGGTTATCGTCCCAATCCGGACGTCATCCTTGCTCGAGAAGCCCACCATCGCTCCCGTACCGTAGTGGATGCTGATGGACTTGCCGTCCGCCTCGTACGTGCTTGATCTGCCCGAGTCGTACCGCCTGTGAAGAAGGCAAGACAGCGTGAAATGGCACTTCTTCGAAGGCACCCACAGATTGGAGCTACCTGTGTCCATAATCACTCGGAAACTCTGCGGCGGCGTCCCGATCCCGATCTCGCCGAAGTACTGCGCGTCGAGGTAGTTATTCAGAGCCACGTAATCGGGTTCTTCCCCATCGCCAACGGCGGCGACGCCCTCGCCATTGCCATCCTTCGCTGCCGCCCTCAGCCGATCGAAGAGACCGCCGTCTCCGCTCTCCGGCCGCCGCCATCGCTTCCCTTCTTCGCCTTCCCCTTCCTCGTCTTCGTTATCCTTCTCCGTGGTGGTCGTCTTCTTCATCGTTGCTCTCCCATCGTCGTGGAAGATAAGCCTCGCCCGCAAGCGGACGGCGTCTCGAACGCCGGCCAAGTTCACGGGTCTTTTGTGGAGAACCACCCGTGGGAGGGAGGCTGCTCCGCCATCGACGCCACTGGCGTCACCTTCTTGATCATCTGTAAGCGACGCCGAGTCCGACATCGATGAGGAGGAGAACGAGGAGGATGAGAGGTCATCGTCGTCAAGCGATACTACCGAAACCACCTCCTCCTCGAAGCTCGTCCACGAGGAGAAGCCATCATCGCCTTGCACCCACCTTCCTCCATATGCATACCTCAAAGGTCCTGCTTCGTTTTCGACAACCGAGAGGCCTTGCAAGGCTCCCCCCACAACGACCGTGAGCCCCAGAAAACACACAAGAAGCGCCACGTGGCGCTCGCACTTCTTCGCCATAGCTCAACACAATCGATATCGATACAGCTACCTCACCCCTGTTCTCATCGACGCCTGTTCTCACCCGGCGTTTTCAGTCGCGCCTTCAGCCCTTTTAAGTCCTGCCCCCTGCGACGACAACAAAGTTCCTGGGATGGCGCAGACGCCGGTGCTACCGGGTTCGGGGCGCGCCTTTTCATTGCATTATCCATGAAAATCCTGGCCCTGCCAGAGTCCACGCCACCCCTCTGGAGACGGGCGGCCGGGGGGCTAAAGGCTATACTCACACCGGGACTTTTCAGTACTGTAGACGTAACTGCAGTCCGATACATCCAGGTCTGGCGGTCGGATACATAGAAGAAAGATAGACACAGTGCGAGTACGCCCTGAGTCCCACTAGCGGGAGTCTAGACTTGGTATATCGAGTTCGCACCGGTTCCTCTCATCGGACTGAACATCCACGGCCATGTACAGCTGATTAGCCCAGCGGGTAGAGTACCGGTTGGAAAATGCGCATTGTGGTCTGAGGTTGTGGGTTCAACACCCTACGGCCTCGCGCTGGGACACCTGCGGCCGTTGGGATTGATTCAGGGTAAGGGTCTGATCCCTGTAGTCGCGAAAAAAGCACAACAAAGATGTCAGTGGCCATGGCGGGGCGAAAAAGAGAAACTGGATCCCACGAGGGCGACTTCTTCGGTGGTTGCCCTGGACCCGTGGCGGTTTGCCCTGGACCCGCGGCGGTTCTTTGTGGGCTGTTGCAGAGGGCGGACGTTTTCGCCAACAGAAATGCCACACAACAGTGTGGTCCACTGATATTCCTGATGCTGCAAACAACAAACGAGAAAAAAAAAGAGAAAAAAAAATGCTCCCTCTTTTTTGCTGCGGAGAAGCCCTCATGGTCTACAGAAAAATTGTAGTAACTACGCTTGCCCCCTTCGCGGACGTGCTGCCATGACACACCCAAACGAGAGTGAGGCAACGTATTTTGGCTGCCACGAACGAGAGTGAGGCAACATATTTCGGCTGCCGCGACGACGTCGGAAAGTGGTGGGATCTGAAAACTACACTGTAACTGGGCTGTAGTGTAGTGGTGGGATCAGACCCTAAGGATTGCACATACTGCCTGCACCATCTGAGGGATTCAATCCAGAATTGTTGTATGTCGGGGCTTGATTATGCGGGAGGTTGCCTAAGGGTGGGCCATAGCTTGTTCTGATGATCCCCCCGGTTTGGCATATTGTACATTGGTACCATTTGAAACTGTAGAACATATGGTTGAGGATGACTGTTATACAATGATGAACGGTTGGGATACACAGAACAGCATGATTTCTGCACAATATATACAGTCTAGGGATACACATACGGACTATGCTTACAGATACATGGGATATATTTCTACACACAAGATATGGGCTGAAAAAGAAGCCCGAACATATGGTTGAGGATGACTGTTATACAATGATGAACCCGGGTTGGGAAACACAGAACAGCATAATTTCTACACACAATTTATACAGTCTAGGGATACACAAAACAAAATAATTTCTACACACGAAACGAAAAAAAGGGAGTCCGGGAGGTTGGCGCATTAGCGCCCCGAACCCGTTGTCGGCGCGAATACCCTTACAACGGTATCCGCCCTGGTTTTTGCAATCGACAGAATGTAAGTTTGGTTCAAAAGTTAAGCATAGCACGCGAGGCGCGACTGTGTCTGCGGATTACGTTGACTGGGTGGCTGACTAAAGTACAGAGTGTGTGGGCGCGCGGATATGAGGTGCGCGTGATCTTTTTATTTGTTGATGATTGAAGAGTCAGCGTCGGCCAATTTTTATCTTTGATTAAACTAGGATTATAAAAAGATGTCTCTGGACTAGTACGCTTGTCTGTGAATTGCGCGTACATGTGGAGAACGGTTGTGACGCGCCAGCTTCCGGACCTGCGCTATCTTCCGCCCTCCCCCCCTCCCCCCCTCCCACCCCTCTCTTCGTCGAATTTTGTTAACAGCCCGACGAGGCCTTTTTTTGTATTTTCATGAATGTAATATGCAGGACCTTCGGATCGATTTTTGGAATTTCGTCTTTTGCAAATTTGGGAATTACGCGCGCCTTAGCGAGCACGCTAGGAAATTGGATCGACGGTTAGGAATTCCGGAATGGGCGGAATCTGACGTGTCATTTCTTGCGCATGAATGCCATCAATTTTGTCTTGGAAAGCTTTGGGAATTTTCGTAGGAATTTGAATAGGCCCAACCCCCCTCCACGCGCCTCCCTTCCGCCCACCTCCACAGTCGCGGGGTTTGAGACTTACCTTGGCCAGTTTTTTTTTTTTTTTTTTTTT